GTCATAGCATGAAACTATAACAAGTACAAAATGGTTACAAGGTCAGTCCGAGGGACCGAGCTCGAGCTGAAAGAGTTAAGTAGAATATAGAAGAAAGTATTAAGCCCATTTGCCCCTGCTCTGTGGCTGCTGTTGAGATGAAGTTTTCCACAAGACTGTTCCAGTGATTTATATATGTTACCTTTTAAGCTGTACTGCTAGTTCCAATAAAGTACTCTCCCTCCACTCACAAGATTAGCTTTTCTCGTTTTGTGCTGCTCTCTGTATGCGAACTTTTTCAAAAACACATGCCACAAGCTTTCATCATCCCTCTGTTGGAATCTAATGTTCCAACATGTCTCTCATGCAATAGGAGAGTACTACTATCACGTGACAAATGTGACTCCCTCTACATGCCACCAAACTATGACTTCGTGTTTGGCAGGTTTCGAGTTCAGACGTTTTTTCTTACATTGTTCAATTACCTTGAAGTGGTTTATATTTTATATTTTTCCTAACTATTTACTACTTTTCACATTTGTGGAGTTAATATTTTAATAAAGCATTACTTCCTCGTGTTTGCCCCCTAGTGGCACAGCAGTATGTCTGCGGACTTACGATGCTAGAAACTGGGTTTCAATAGTCATGGTGGGCAGAGCACAGATAGCCCATTGTGTAGCTTTGTGCTTAACTTCTGAACAAAATGATTCCTCGTGTTTCCAGCCTATGAATTCTGAAGTTACAGTCACATCTTCAGCTACTTCGCCAGCATCTGATGTCATATTTTCAGCCAAGGGCATGGGTGACCCATTGGGGGATATATCATTGCTAATTCACCGGGAGATTGAGCAGTATATGAGCCAACCTCTCTCGCCTACTTCTGACCATTCTCATTCACTACCTGATGATTCATCTCGTCTGTCATTGGTCATTTCAGACTTTATCTTGATATTATGGTTCACGTTGATTGATTTGCCTCTCAACTGGCATGGACTTCGAATCAGTCTGCCCCTGCTCACCCTCACGTATATGGGGTTTTCTGATGAAATCGTCTCCATCCTCTTTTGGGTGCTTTCGCACTTGTCATGGATCGGATTCCTCTGCAGGTAACTTATATCCAATGGAGTGGTTTCTTGATCATTTTGTTTTCCAGTGGCTTTGACTTCAGTGGGGATATTAATGTGGTCCTGCACTGCCTCACTTTGCCTATGTTTGAACCACTCCAACAGTTCTCCTTGTTTCATCTTCCTTTGTTTTCCTTCCTTCTCCTATTTATTTGTGGACATCAGTGGTTTGTTTATTTGCCATCGACGTTCCACATACTTTTTATCCTTCTACATATCTTCTCCTTTCTCTGGATCGTTTTTTTCTCCCTAACACTTTGGTAGCTCATGAGGATAACTCCTCCATTTAGTTGCTTTCCCTTTCTTCCATCTAACACCTTTATCCGCATCTTGATCTGGATAGTCTTCTATGTCTTGTACATGCTCTTCTCTGTTATATTGCCTGCATGGCTTCCTTCTGTGGTATGTGTTCCTGTCTATTTCTTCCTTGGCAACTGTCCTCTGTTTGGGTTTGGTTCTTCATTCAACTGGCTTCTATCTCTTTATCGTCTTTCTCCAGTACTTTGTTCCAAGTATTTTTTCACCCAATTCGACACCTAACCTTTTCATTGTCTTTCATCTTCATCATCCTTTGGAGGTACTTCTTCAATTGGGCATGTGGACTACCCACGATACATTTAGCTCTCACTATTTGCATCAGATCCTAGTTTTCTTCCTCTTCTGGTTATTGTCTTCCACTTATAGCCATTCTAGAATATCAGAATTCAGTGAGACTTTGACTCGGTAAGTTGTTGTTTTTTTTTTTCTGACCAAATATTCTTTAACTGTTCAAATCCACACTGTCAAGCAATGTTGACTTGCATATTATAATTCCATGGCCATGCAGTGCACACTGCAGTGATCAGTGTTTCACAAGATCACTTGTAGGTTTATCCTTGTGATAGAATTGCTTCATAAGTTTGCCTGTCCTGGACCATACTCACTCATAGACTACATTGGGAAAGCAGAAGGTGATAGCTATCCATCCCTGCCATGCCTTGTATTGAATAAATTGGTATGGTCTTCTTTTAAAAATAGAGTTTCATGTCTCAGGTGTTATCATTCCTTCAAACTTTCCACTGAACTTTGCCCCCCTTTTCTTCTAGTGGAGTTTGAGAGTTCCAAGCCACTGGAATGGTGAACTATGGAGGCACCCTCCTGAATAGGTTAAAGAAATTCAAACAAAACTAGGAATATTTATAAAAACATTCAGTTGAGAGTAGGGCAGCAGTGTTCTGCTGGTGTAGATGACGTGATATCCTTCAATATGAAACATAAAAACAAATGGGAGCACACCAAATCACTTCGATTGGGATCCCTCATCCTACCTCCACATGGATGTCAGTTCCCAGTGGCCGGGTTTTGGACTTAGAGTAGAACCAATCAACATAAGTCATCACACATGTATTACAGGTATCTATATTCCTCCCTCATTTATACTCCATCAGTGTTGTGAGTCATGGTGGAGGTAATTGTGGATTGTTATGGTTCTTTCCCTTCTGCTACCTCTTGATGTTTCTTATTTCGAGGATGTTAATGTGCTTGGGGTGGTTCCAGTCAATTTCACTTATGAGAAAGATGGTTTACATTATGTAGATATCTTTTCAATACCGGATGTCAGGCTCCCAGATCGATCTATCAATTTATCATATTCACATGTGCCCTGTTCATGAGTGAGGGGAGTACTAGATTCCCTCTTGTCTTGAGGTGAAGACAGTATGATCCTCATCCTACCCCTGCATGGATGTTAGTTCCCAGTGGCATGGGTTTTGGATGTACTTGACTTACCTTGTACGGTCCGTTGCACCCTAGCCACTCTACACCTCCTTTTCATTTTACCCACTTTTATAATTTCTGGAAATGAGTTTAATAGATATTGCATGGTTCAGATCACTTTCCGGCCATAGTTCTCTCCCGGTGGATATGCTCCTTTGTTTTCCAACCATATATATGATACATCTTTGTATGATGGGTGAAGAATATACCTGTTTCAGAAGTGGTGCAGTTCTCCAATCAAATCTTAGAATCTGACTGTCTCCTCCTAGGGAATGCCCTTCATGCACATACAAAGGATGCTTCTTTCTTTCCTTTGCATCAGTCTTCCCCTCACTTATTCAGTGTGAGATTCTAGCTATTTATGTGAGTGAAGGTAATGTACCTTATTGGAAGTTATAATTTCCCTATACCGAAAATATATTTCCTATAGGTTCTTACCTCTACTCACACTTCCCACCCTTACTCCCCACTGAAAACTGGTGCTTCCATTTTCTGCCAAAACAAGTAAGTACCTATCGGAAATACATTTTCATTGTAGGAAAATTATAACTTTTATGTATTTCAGGTTCTTGAGAAACTAGGTAAGTCATGTTTTTGTTAATTGAAGTCTTTCTTTTATACGATAGGAGCAAGACGGAGAAACATATTAGGTAGTCATGACGAGAGCTGATAATCATTTAGCAAGGTGGTACTTTGGAGGGTTGGCAAGTACAGGGGCTGCCTGCTGCACCCATCCTCTTGATCTGCTAAAGGTAACAGTTTGTCTTGTATACATAGTGGATAAGTTTAAATTAACTCTTACATCACTAGCTTTCAATAGTCACATTAAAATGTTAACAAGATTGCAGTAGATGAAGATAATTACATATGGCTAACTGATTGATTATAAATTTTACATTGAGATATAATTTTAAAGATATGTTAGTGTTTTATGTAAGGTTCAAAAGAAACCTTGGTTGAGTATACGCTAAATATATTGTTACGTATCTGCTCGTTTGTTAATTTCCGGTATAAATTCTTCCCGAGGAACTTCAGCGATACAAATCCTTTCTTAAATAAAACTAGTTTATGATTTCTCAATATAACTTTGCAATACACAGAATTTCCACGATCACTTTAACTTAAACATGCGCTATAATTCACAACGATTCACAAACTTTACTTACAGTCACTACCACTCACTTGACTCGATTATCTGTCTCAAAATCTCCCTATCTGCAAAAACATATGTCCGCTTTATTTGCCGGGCTTATATACAAAAATAGAGGGCATCTGGCAATTGCTAGTGTTGCCAGGAACAGTCATGATCCTTCTAGAAATTCATGACGTGTTACCAGCGTCACGGGACTTCCGCTGTCATAACACTGCCCCTTCCATAGTATTGTTCATCCCAAACAATAGCCACTTACATTATACCAATAGATTATTAACAATAACTTGATTAAATGTACAGAATTTACAAACACAAAATTAAAATACAACAAAGTCTTCTAATTTTACAGGACGTATCTTCTTCCGTACTGGTCTCTGTCTCATTGGCTTCTGCTTCACATGGGGTTCATCTGCTCCATCAGGAAATGTCCTATTATCAGTAACAGTCACATCAGTGGTAGTAACTTCATCAAGGGCTTCACTGTTTCCCTTCTCAAAACCGGGTAGAGTTTCTTCTTCGACAGTGGCATTTTCGGGTGACATGTCTTAAGCTTTGTCATTTGTTCCATTGTTCACTTTGTTCCAACTGAAATGTCCTGGACCGTGATAATGCCAAAGCCTGTTGGCATGCACCACCTTTGGCTTACCTCCCCAACCACATTTTATTTGGAAAGTCACGTCTTAGAGATGATCGACTATGTCATATGGGCCTTCCCATGGAGAAGACAACTTACGAGATTTCCCTTCAGTAGATCTCTTATCATAGCATAGCATATAACTTCATTGGAGCACATCCCTTATGCTTGGGTCCCTTTTTAGCATGACATGTACTGCATGTCCTGCACCATTCTTCCACATCTTGCCTCATACCTATCAAGTAAAATCTCTGTCGTAGGTGATTCAATGTTTTCTTAACTCCGAGATGTCCTCCTGTTAAACTGTCATAGGATTGACGCAGCACAACTTCCCGTAACTTTCTCGGTATAACTGTTTGCCAGGTCGTCACTTTCCCATCTGCAGTTTCCCATCTCCGGAGAAGAATTCCATTTTCAAGCTTCAACTGGTCCCATTGTGCCCAATAGTTCTTTGTCACAGGGCTTAAGCTAGACACCTTCTCCGAAGCAGGGCACGAAACACTTGCTTGTAGAAAACGAATTATTGGTGTCCGATTTTGGTCTTTCTCTTGCTCTGCCTTAATATCTATACCTGGTTCCATTTCACCATCATCAACTCGTTCAGTCACTTTGACTTCAGCTTGATGGCACCTAGTTAGTTCAACCTCTCTTTTACTCTTTCCAGAATTTGGCTTTTGTTGTTCCCAAACATCATTTTATCAAAATTGATTACACACTTCCTCGGTTGTAAGTAGTCCAACCCTGGTATGCATTGGTCTTCAATGTCACCAAAGAATATCTTGTGTCTTTCCTTCATGCCCATGAGCTCAATAGTTACCCACACTGGTCCCCATAACCTTGCATAATGTCCTGTCACACCACAGAGCTTCTGTCTGGCTTCTGGTACTCCTTTGTGATACAGCATCTTGATACTCACAAGGGTTTGCTGAAATGCAGAATCTATGACAAAGTTGCACTTTTGGCCATCCAGCTTTCATGTCACATAGACACTATGTGTGCTTGCCATTTTACACTTAGCTGTTGGGACTTTCACAATAGGGGTTGGTGGGCGTCCCTCAGCACCAACCATTACTGGTTTCCTGAGGCTGACTTATTGGTAGTATTCTTCTTACACTAGCTCCTCATGTGTCATTGCTCTCCACATTTCCAACAACCCTTCTGGGTAGCAGCCTTTCCTGCTATAGCATCTTCCCTGTGTTGAAGTTGCTGGCATTGAGCTCTCATGTGCCCAGGTTTGTTACAGTTCCAGCAAAGTCCATCATATTTTTGTGAAAGCAGACGTTTTCTGGCCTTGAATCCTCATGACTGTACCAACCTTGTTACCTCTGTGCTGGACTTAACGTAGGATTCGAATTCAAGAGCTCTGGCCATTGCATCCTGCATAGTAGAAGGGTGTGCTTGCTTTACTTGTATCTTCAGTTGTGGACTGTCCAAGGCATCTACAAACTGATCCCTCAGCAACAACTTGAGGAGATCGTGTGGTGCAGTTGGGTAGACCTTGTGTGCCATACTTTCGAAATCCTGTGCCAGCTCTTGCGGGCTCTCCGCTTTAGCATGGACTCTAGTGCTAAACCTAGCCCTGTAGACTTCAGACTGATTTTGAGTTCCATACTTGAGTTCTAGAGCAGCTACCAGTGCTCTATAGTTGTGCCTGTCGTCTGTTGACAACTGTCCAAGTATTTCTAGGGGTTGTCTTTTCAGACTCGTTGCCCGGTGCACAGCTTTCTGCTCCTCTGCCCATCCATTCCTCTCTGCCAGGAGCTCAAATTGTGCTCTATATGCTTCCCATGGTGCCTTCCCATTGAATTTCTGTGGCTTCCTTCGTACTAGATCACCCCTACTGCTGACACTCATGTCTGGAATATGACATCTGGCAGGACTGAAGATGTCTGTATTAGGATTTAGCTGCGGGGTCTGGAAGAGGCTACCCATTGTCTGGGGCTGATTAGGTCCATGGTTAATATATACTCCATGTGTAAAAGACAGTAAATCATCCTTTAATGTATTTAATTCACTTTGAAATTTACTAATGTTTTCCATTTGTACTTCTTGCCACTGTTGTTGACTTTCCTGTAGTTGCTGCTGACTTTCCAGCAATCATTGGAGACTTTCTTCTTGTTTTTTGTCTTGTTCCAGTTGCCACTGCTGTAGTCTCTCTTCTTGTTTATTTTCTTTCTCCTCCAAATACTGCTGTATTCTCTCTTCTTGTTTCCTTTCTTTGTCCTCCAGTGACTGCTGTAATCTTTCTTCTTGTTTCATTTCTTTATCCTCCAACAACTGCTGTAATCTCTCTTCTTGTTTCTTTTCTTTATCCTCCAACAACTGCTGTAACCTCTTTTCTTGTTTATTTTCTCGTTCTTCTTGTTTCCTTTCTTTTTCCTCCAACAACTGCTGTAATGTCTTTTCTTGTTCCTCTTGTTTGTTTTCTAGTTTATCTTGTTTCCTTTCTTTTTCTTCCAACAACTGCTGTAATTTCTCTTCTTGTTTCTTTTCTTGTTTCTCCAACAACTGCTGTAATCTCTCTTGTTTATTTTGCTGTTCGAGCTGCCATTGTTGTAAGTTTCTTGCCACTGCTGTTGTCTCTCCTCTTGTTTCTTTTGCTGTTCTTGTATTGCTGCCATCAAATCTACTAAGCTGTAGTTTGATTTGCCGTTTCCATCTGTTTCTTCTTTTTTTTTTCTCCGTCCTAGTCACTGACACCAATTTGTTACGTATCTGATATTTTGTTTATAAATTCTTTCTGAGGAACTTTAGCGATAAAAGTCCTTTCTTAATTAAAACTAGTTTATTCTTTCTCGATACAACTTTGTAATACCCTTAAAAACTTTTATAACACACGCTATAAATCACAGTGATTCACACACTTTACTTACGGTGCCTACTGTTTGCTCGACTCAATTATCGATTATTTCTCTTCAATCCATCTCTGGCTAATATACTAAAAAAGAGGGCGTCTAGCAAATTCTAGGACATTCGTGAGGTTGCCTGATAAGTCACGATCCTTCTAGAAACTCCAGCACGCATGCTTCCAGTGTCGTTTGACTTCCGCTGTCGTAACACCCCCATTGTGGATAAACCATTAGCACTGACCCAGAGAAGTAACAATACTCGTATACGTCCCCCATTGTAGATACACTACTAGCATTGATCCAGGCCGTTAACAACACTTTACTCCTTATGTACCTAGCCCACTGTGGATACAAAAACAGCACCAAACTAGGCCACAAACATTATTTAGCTCTTTATGTACCTCCCTTATTGTGGATATGTTAACAGCACCAATCCAGGCCAGTGACATTACTCAGCTTTTTATGTTTTTCCATGCTGTAGGTTTTAGTGTCAGTCATTATATTAAACATGCACATTTTCACACATCTGAAAGGTTAGGACCATAAAACTATAATACACTAACATCTTCATGTATTCAACAAGTATAATTGTACTATTTTTTTGTGTTTCAGTAGGCTACTTTAGGTCCTGAATGATTCCATTGTACTATTTTTTTCAGATGCAGTAGGCTACTTTAGGTCCTGAATGATTCCATTTTACTATTTTTTGTGATGCAGTAGGCTACTTTAGATCCTGAATGATTTCATTTTATTATTTTTTTCTAACACAGTAGGCTACTTTAGGTCCTGAATGATTCCATTGTACTATTTTTTTCAGATGCAGTAGGCTACTTTAGGTCCTAAATGATTCCATTTTACTATTTTTTTGTGATGCACTAGGATATTTTAGGTCCTGAATGATTCCATTTCACTATTTTTTTGGGATGCAGTAGGCTACTTTAGGTCCTGAATGATTCCATTTTATTATTTTTTTCTGACACAGTAGGCTACTTTAGGTCCTGAATGATTCCATAACACTACTTTGTTTCTTATGCAGTAGGCTGCTTTAGGTCCTGAATGGTTCCATTTTACTATTTTTTTGTGATGCACTAGGATATTTTAGGTCCTGAATGATTCCATTTCACTATTTTTTTTGGGATACAGTAGGCTACTTTAGGTCCTGAATGATTCTATTTTATTATTTTTTTCTGACACAGCTGGCCACTTTAGGTTTCGAATGATTACATTTTGCTATTTTTTCTGATGCAGTAAGCTACCTTAGGTCTTGACTGATTCTATTTTACTATTTTTTGTGATGCAGTGGGCTACTTTAGGTCCTGAATCATTTCATTTTATTATTTTTTTCTGATTCAGTTGGCTACTTTATGTCCTGAATCATTCCATTTTATTATTTTTTTCTGATTCAGTTGGCTACTTTACGTCCTGAATCATTCCATTTTACTATGTTTTTCAGATGCAGTAGGCTATTTTAGGTCCTGAATGATTCCATTTTACTATTTTTTGTGATGCAGTAGGCTACTTTAGGTCCTGAATGATTCCATTTTGTTATTTTTTTCTGATGCTGTTGGTTACTTTAGGTCCGGAATGATTCCATTTTACTATTTTTTCTGATGCAGTTGGCTACTGTTACGACAGTGGAAGTCGCGTGATGCTGGGAGCATGCGCTGGAATTCTTGAAAGATCGAGGAACCTGTCGAACGTCCTTGCATTTGCTAGACACATGCTCTTATAGTATATAAGCTGGCAAATAAAGTGACGGGATAGATAATTGCAGACAGACAGAGATGGACAATTGAGACAAGCACGGTAGTGACCGTAAGTAAATTGCGTGAATCATTGGGAATTATTGCATGTTTATTAGTTAAAGTAACTGTGGAAATTAAGTGTATTGCAAAGTTGTATTGAGAAAGAATAAACTAGTTTTATTTAAGAAAGGACTTGTATCGCTGAAGTTTCTGGGAAAGAATTTCTACTGAAAATTAACAAACGAACAGAGACATAACACTACTATAGGTCCTGAATGATTCCATTTTATTATTTTTTCTGATGCAGTTGGCTACTATAGGTCCTGAATGATTCCATTTTATTATTTTTTTGTGATGCAATAGGCTACTTTAGGTCCTGAATGATTCCATTTTACTTTCTTTTTTTTATGCTGTTGGTTACTGTTACGACAGCGGAAGTCATGTGACGCTAGTAACACGTCATGATATTCTCGAAGGTTCGCGAATGCTCCAGTGTTTGCTAGATGTAAGGTATTCTTGTATATAAGTGCGCCAGTCAATGAATCGGTATAGAATTGCAGACAAACAGAGACAGACAATTGAGTCAAGCTCAGTAGTAAGTAAGTGCGTTAATCGTTCGTTGTGAATTATAGCGTGTGTTTAAGTTAAATTTATTGTGGAAATTAATTGTATTGCAAAGTTGTATTGAGAAAGAATAAACTAGTTTTACTTAAGAAAGGACTTGTATCGCTGAAGTTTTTCAGAAGGAATTTTTACGGGAAATTAACAAACGACCAGAGATGTAACATTACTTTAGGTCCTGAATGATTCCATTTTACTATTTTTTTGTGATGCAGTAGGCTACTTTAGGTCCTGAATGATTCCATTTTATTATTTTTTCTGACACAGTAGGCTACTATAGATCCTGAATGATTACATTTTACTAATTTTTCTGATGCAGTAGGCTACTTTAGATCCAGAATGATATTGATTCTTGAAAATATTCATTATCCCAGAATCTACCCCTTCTGAGTTCCTCTACAGTAAGACATGTTTAGCAACAAAAAAATAGTAATTTGTCAAGTAATTTATTATATTGAAGAGTATGTGTATATTTTACATTAGATTATATTTTAATTACATTTTTGGAAGGTTCATCTTCAGACACAATATGAAGGGAAAATTAACATTGTTCGAAGTGCCATCAGCATTGTTCGGGAACAGGGAGTTTTGGCACTGTACAATGGACTGAGTGCCTCACTACTCCGTCAGGTAAATCTTATTTTGTTCTAACATTTTTGCCATATGAGCGTTGTTACTTCATCAATACATAATTTACTAGTTTTTACCTTATATAATGGGTAAGAGAAATTTATATGTAGATGTGTTTGTTTAGTGAAAGAAGGAATAATATCTGCTGTGTTAAACTGTATTGACAAGACAAGAGAAGGTATGGTTGATATCTATAGTGTTAAAATGTATTGATAAAACAAGAGAATGTATGACTGGCATCTGTAGTGTTTAACTGTGTTAATAAATCAAGGGAAGTATGATTGATATCTGTAATGTTAACCTGTATTAATAAATCAAGGGAAGGTATTGTTATGACAGTGGAAGTCACGTGACGCTAGTAAGATCATGATATTCTCGAAGGTTCGTGAATGCTTGAGTGTTTGCTAGATGTGCGGAACTCTTGTATATAAGTGTGCCAGACAATGAATCGATATATAATAGCAGACAGACAGATTGAAGATATAGAGGGACAATTGAGTCAAGCGCAGTAGTAAGGAAAGTGCGTGAATCGTTCGTTGAGAATTATAGCGTGTGTTTAAGTATGGAAATTAAGTGTATTGCAATGTTATATTGAGAAAGAATAAACTAGTTTTATTTAAGGAAGGACTTGTATCACTGAAGTTTCTCGGGACGAATTTCTATGGGAAATTAACAAACGAACAGAGACATAACAGTATGGCTGATATCTGTAGTCTTAAAATGTATTGAAAAAACAAGGGAAGGTATGACTGATATCTGTAGTGTTAAACTATTAATAAATCAAGGGAAGTATTATTGATATCTGTAGTGTTAAACTGTATTAATAAATCAAGGGAAGTATGATTGATATCTATAGTGTTAAACTGTATTAATAAATCAAGGGAAGTATGATTGATATCTATAGTGTTAAACTGTATTAATAAATCAAGGGAAGTATGATTGATATCTGTAGTGTTAAACTGTACTGACAAGTCATAGGAAGGTACAGTCGATATCTGTAGTGTTAAGCTGTATTGACAAGTCCTGGGAAGGTACGGTCAATATCTGTGGTGTTAAACTGTATTGACAAGTCATGGGAAGGTACGGTCGATATCTGTGGTGTTAAACTGTATTGACAAGTCATGGGAAGGTACGGTCGATATCTGTGGTGTTAAACTGTACTGACAAGTCATGGGAAGGTACGGTCGATATCTGTGGTGTTAAACTGTACTGACAAGTCATGGGAAGGTACGGTCGATATCTGTGGTGTTAAACTGTATTGCAAAAGTTCTGGTAGTTTATTGTCATCCTCTTAGTGATACAACATTTGAAAATGTGACACAGCAGGCTGTGGAAATTTTCAGAAGTATTTTCGGTGGGTGCAGGTTACAGCTGTATTGGTAAATTAAACATCCAAGAAGTCGAGAAGTATAGTAAGATGAAAAATGCTGACTGTCGGCTAACACGGTGACACCACTATAGTTTGAGTAAGTACCATTTTTTGTACAAACTGGATGGAATAAAGTATGGCTCCATCAATATGAGACATACAGCGAAACATGCATGTCAACATTCTAGTTTCTGTACAATTTGACCACCTCAGAAAATAGCTGTCGAAGCTCTTCTTGATTAGTTTTCAAAAGTGGAGGGAGGGGTGATGTTTACTTTATTGTAAACACAAGTGTCATTCATAGAAATGTTATTGTATTGCAATAGTTCCCAAGTAGAACCATAAAAGAATCCATCATTCTTATTGAAGGGTGGAGCTGGGCATTCATGTTACTACCATAGATCTTAAATGACCCTCTGTATAGTTAAGATATTTTTATAAACATATATTCATATACTGATATATAATTCTATGTCAAAATTATTGTAGATTCAGTGAGGAGTACATATTCTTGAGGCTAGGACAAATTTGTAAATGTATGGAAAATTTCAAAGTCAAATGTTTTCTGATATATTCTCCAAAATAGTGAAGTTAAAAAAGTCTCTTCAATTTTTAGTTTGTAACTTAAATGTCATTGGTTGGTGATCATTTCTGCTCTTACATACACAGTATTGGAAAGAACAGTTTAAAAGGTGAGTTGACCTGTAAACTCCAAGGTTAATGGGAAGTTTCATTAGTAAAGTTACTAAGTAACTGAAGTTTAATCCAAAAATATAGTAGCAGCAACTGTTACAGTAGACAAGCTCTGATTTTAATGATTACAACATTTTGAACCCATTGTATCAGGTCATCATTGGATAAAAGTTACATTCAGATGCCAACACATTAAAATCAGAGCTTGCCTACTGTACAAGTTGCTGTTATTGTATTTTTGAAGTAGTTATTCAGTTCAGTAGGCTCCTCACTAAACATTAAACACTGAAGTTTCTTTAGTCTCTCATTACATTATAAATAACTCAGATTGTATGTTTTCAGATGACTTGTAAACTTCAAGGTAATACAAAGTTTCCACAGTAACATTACTCAGTACTGAAGTTGTTTCAATCTGTTATAATTATTATAAGTAACTCAGATTGTATGTTTTCAGATGACTTGTAAACTTCAAGGTAATACAAAGTTTCCTTAGTGAAGTTACTCAGTACTGAAGTTGTTTCAATCTGTTATGATCATTTTAAGTAATCTGTATTGTGTGTTTTCAGCTGACATACTCTACCACGAGATTCGGTATTTATGAGGTAGTGAAGCAGAGTGCAACAAAACCAGGAGAAATATTACCATTTTATAAGAAAGTTATCTTTGCTGCAGCCGGAGGAGCCGCTGGTGGTTTTGTAGGAACACCTGCTGATATGGTGAATGTTAGGTAATGGGAAATATACTTAATAGGATTCTTTGTCGTGAACAAAATGATCAAAAATAAACATGAATGATAAATAAGTTTTGGTAGCAGGAAGCTAATAGGGATTTTGAGTATATAATAATAACAAAATTAGACAGTATTTGTAGATTTGTGTATAATTTAGTTCCATGTATTATGTTTCTATGTTCTTTTTGAAGAAGACATTTGGGTGAAGTTGAACTTTATTTTAGATCATTAAGTGTAATTTCAGCAGATGATTCAAATTATGAACGTATTATCTAACAAAATTATCATGCACAAATCATCTACAAATATAAACACCTAAGTTTATAAATTCTTTCTTATCTGCTTTTCAAACTTCTGTGATAATTAAGAGCTGCAAGTGGAGAATACAATGAGTATCATGAATATGATAATGTTTCCATGAGTCCTGGAAGTACTTAACAAGTTTTGGAAAAGGACTAATTTTTCATTTAGATGCTTGAGAGGTCTTGGAATTTAGGTGTTAAGAGACATGGGGCTAGCAGATGACATGTCCAAAATATAGGGCGTAATTGTGGCTTGTAAGATGAAAAAATAGCCAAATATGATACATACATCTAAATTTTTCAGTGTGGGTAAACACAATGCCCAATGTTGGTTAATTAGTCTCATATAATACATACATCTACAGTTTTCAGTGTGGGTAAACACAATGTCCAATGTTGGTTAATTAGCCTCATATAATACATACATCTACATTTTTCAGTGTGGGTAAACACAATGCCCAATGTTGGTTAATTAGCCTCATATAATACATACATCTACATTTTTCAGTGTGGGTAAACACAATGCCCAATGTTGGTTAATTAGTCTCATATAATACATACATCTACATTTTTCAGTGTGGGTAAACACAATGCCCAATGTTGGTTAATTAGCCTCATATAATACATAAATATTGTTATGTCTCTGGTCGTTGGTTAATTTTCCGTAGAAATTCTTTTTGAAAAACTTCAGCGATACAAATCCTTTCTTAAATAAAACTAGTGCGTGAATCGTTGTGAATTCTAGCGTGTGTTTAAGTTAAAGTGACTGTGGAAATTAAGTGTATTGCAAAGTTGTATTGAGAAAGAATAAACTTTTACTTACGGCTTGACTCGATTATCTGTCTCTATATCTCTCTGTCTGCAATTCAATCCTTGCCGTCACTTTATTTGCCGGCTTATATACTATAAAAGCGCGAGTCTAGCAAACGCTCGAGCCTTCAGGAACGTTCGAGCTACTCATTACGTGTTATAAGCGTCACGTGACTTCCGCTGTCGTAACAATATACTTGCTGTGATAAGATACTCGTTTTTATCCACGCATGTGTGTAAAATGCTACATTAGTAGTTTAGTTATTAAGAGATGGTTTCTACACGTCTTAATTGTCTTACTTTTAGACAGTTTCCCATATATAAATGATGAGTTAAAAAGACCCGTTAGATTAAGACACAGCTATTTCATATTTAGAATTGCTGACCAATAGGAATACAACTAGTTAGCATCATCCGTCGTATATGCGGTTAGTCTTAACTCAAATGTGAAGTTGGCCTTCATAGTTATCAAGCAGCATTAGCTAGACATGCAAAGTGTGTTCAGGAGCGATATTAGTGATGTGATATGTAAGGATGCGAGAGGTAATACACCATACTTCAATGACGCCCTTTAACGATAACATCCAGAAATTGGATATACACTGAGTGGTCACAAGTAAATACACACCTAATTTTTCGTCATTTAACTGAT